TCTAGTTTTTTATTCTTATTTTTGATTATTCTAAGTTCAAAGCTTTTTTTTATTATGGGTGCATCCTCAACATAGACGATCTTTGTAGCGGAATCTTCCTCCAGGTGACGCGTTTCAGTCGGATCAAATTCATCGACGCACCAACCGTTCTGCGCAGGTCGGAAGTCACGAACAGCGACACCGCTGAATAAAGTTAGTTTGAGTTTTTACGCGTTTGATTAAAAACACGACGAGAATCTGAAGCTGCGCAGGAAACGCAACGTGACGTGATTTAAACTTCAAGGTGCGTTTTTGTTTCTCTGCTAGCATCGGTGTTAGCAACGTGTTAGCATGGATGTTAGCGGTAAGACTGTGAGAATGAATCCGGGAGAAGAGGTCCAGCACCGGGCACAGGAGGAGGACGAGGAGCTGGAGGAAGATGGGGAGTGGGAGGAGCTGGAGGACGAGGAGCTGGAGGAGCTGGAGGAGGAGTTAGACATGACGGCGAAAGGTAAAACCACAAGTTTACTCAGGTCATTAGGAACACCTGCCTGATGCTAATGATGATGCTAATGCTAAGTCAGTCTGACAGTTCATGACGCTGTGATGAAACGGTGGAAGTTCGATTCTTAAACCGGGAATCAAACCGTCATCATCTCGTATCGCGATCTGAACCTGACGGTATTTATTTTGGGGGCGGTACCGATATTAAACACATGAGGCGATATATTTATGATATATAAATTGTCAATAACTTTATTTGCATGGACACCAACATTCTCATATTAACCCGAATCAGACAATTTGTCTGAATAAGATAAGAAAGGAATCATCTAAAATAGTAAAGAGGCGTGACAGCTCCCCCGAGTGAAGCCAAAGCATCTTGATCGCCCCCCGGTGGTTGACTGGAATATTGGTTAAAAACTCAGCTTCCTCTATGTTAGCAGATGGGACATGAATTAAATAAAACGTTCCTCCCCCAGATGTGCTGCAGAAGGTTCAAGCCGTGCAGACGGACGCCACCACAGAAGAGTCGGGCGTCAACACGGAGCCCGACTGGGAGAGCCAGGTGTCGGCCATGTTGGATTACGGCGTCAGTCTGTCGGAGAAGTACAACAGTCTGATGAGGAAGCAGGACGAAGAGGAGGCGGACCAAGAGAAACAGAAACAACAACTGCAGAAGAAGAAGGAGGAGGCCACACGGCAGCACCAGGTCAGACTGACCCTCTCGAACACGATGTCATATTTCTGTGGCTTCAGATTGTTTCAGTCGGTGTCGAGCGTCGTGTGATTCAGGGGATTTTCATTTGGAAATAACACTCAGTGATAAAAGAGCGCCATGACAAGTTTGTTGCAGATCCACCTTTTCGTTAATGACTCATCATTACGCTGGGGTGATACTGCCGCATTATTTCCTCCACTGAACCAACACGCTCCTGCTGCTTGACCTCATGTGTCAGACGTGGTTGTCGCGGTTGACGACATCGCTAAAGTTGTTGAACTTCTCACGATTCAGTCATGATAGAAAACTCGTGTTTGGAGTTTGAAGCGTCTGTTTCACCCTCAGACTGTGACTGTGTGTTTCAGGCTGTGATGGAAAAACTGGAGTCTGTGCGAGTCAAACTGCAGCTGAACAACTCCAAGGCTGCCAGGAAGAACTTCTTGTCCAAAAAACAGGAGATGGCGTCAGAGAAGGATCGAGCGGAGGAGGAGAAGAACAGGTAGAGACCACTGATACCGTGTCTCTGTTCTGCTGAGTCATCTCAGCCTGTGATATAACGAGGAGATTCCAGAGCTTTTGGTGAAAACACTGAAAACACTGATCTTTCCTCTGTGGATCAGGTTGGCCAATGAGCTGCAAGAGAGCGAGCGGAAGCTGGCGGCGCTCACAGAGGAGCAGAGCGAGGAGCAGCGGAGGTGGCAGGAGGAGCTGGAGGAGCTGAGGCAGGAGATGGAGCGTGTGAGGACGGAGGCGCAGGAGGCGGAGCTTCAGGCCTTACAGGACGAGAAAGCAGCTGTGGAGAAGCAAAGGGACGTCGCCATAACTCAAATCGATGTCTGGCTGAAAGAGGTACAGAGCTTTTATTTTGAAGAGTTAAATGTTTGAGCTGATGTGATTTGTCTTTTACGTGGAACAAATAAAAGAGTGGACATGATTAAAGACAGATAACTGTAGTCGTGTCCTCTCGTGTCGTAGCTGGGTCAGTACCTGAACGCTCTGCGGGCGGAGTCTCCTCAGCAGTATCATCTCGAGAGGCAGAAGTGGGAGAAGAAGGAAGCTGCGGTGCGGAGGAGTCAGGCCGAGCTCCAGAGCCACTTCCAGGAAGTGATGCAGAAGCTCCAGCAAGGCCGAGAATTAGAGTCTCTCACAAAGGTCCACATCCCGACTCTGCCGGATGTCCCCATGGTAAGACACATGTGACATCATATGCTTTTAATAACAGCTGATGAACTCTCGTCAATGATTTGTAGTTTCATGTGAGTAAACACAAATGAAAACATTCTAACATATGTTTAATATATAAAGAAGAAAACAAACACTGGCTCCCGACCAGCCGTTCCCAGGATTCATTTCACTTTGGTCAATGAGGCGATGAAGCCGGCGAGCAACATGTGTGATGCTTGAGTATCGCACCTCAACTCAAGTTTGACCAGACCGTCTTATCACGGTTCCGCCTGCGTGGTCTACGTGGTCCCAGAGGAGGCGGACCCTGACACAGCTGACGTCTCACATGTGTCTGAATTTCTTCTTCAGTTGTCACTGGGACTCTGAACTGATTAGATTTCACAGGTCAAAGGTCACAGTGACCTCATGAGTCTGCAGTGGTTGTTATCGACCACAGCAACTTGAGTTTCTCATCGACGAGCTGCTGTTCGCTCCAACGACACTGACTGGATGTTTTTATGTTTTACTCTTTTTAAACACGGTTTACTTCCTGCAGCCGTAAAGAAAACATGACGCTCTGATAAATACTTTGCTCTGTGTAAACACTGATCAGCTGTGTTTCCTCCCGCAGGTCGACCTGAGGATCAATCAGCTGATACAGACACTGGTTCAGCCGCAGTTTGGGGCCCCCCCCACCTCAGTGGTCCGATCCTTCCCCCCTCAACGACACCCACATTACTACCAGGACCAGTACCAGCCCCCTTTCCGACCTCCGTACCGTCAGCGCTACCCACACCACCACCCGCCACCTGATCACTATTTCCAGCCACCAACCGATCACTACTTCCAGCCGCCGCCGCCGCAGTTCCAGCTGCACATCAGAGTGCCGCTGAGGGTGACGCCCCCTCTCTCCCCCTCCCCTCCTGTTCAACCTGTCTACCCTGTAGTTCCCTCGCCGCCTCCCCCTTCTGGCGCCACCGCCACCTCAGCCGGTAAACTGGACAAAGTCCTAGAGAAGCTCGGGACTCGGTTCCCACAATGCAACAAGGCTCAGCTGACTCAGCTGCTGCAGCAGGTGAAGAGCTCCCGTGGCACATTAGCTGGCATGTCCATGGAGGAGGTCGGGGAGCAGGTCGGCCTGAAGCTGGCACAGAATGAGAGGGTGGCCCCGGGGCCCATCGTCCGGCCCGCGCTCCTGGGCCCGATCCAGAGGCCGCCGCCCTCCCCGCAGAGAGCCAGAGCGGTGGCAACACCGGCTGGAGGTCCGAGCGCCGGGGCCCGCAAACTCTGCCTGATGTGCCAGAACGCTGTGGAGCCAGAGAGCCGCCACCCGCTGAGCTGCTCCCACACCATCCACAGAGACTGCATCCGCATGTGGCTGCAGTCCAGCAAGAACAACTCGTGTCCCTTCTGTCCCGCCAAGTGACTCCATGACATCACAGAGCACGACAGCAGCATGCTAACGTCACCTCGGTTAATGGGAAGCTTTTGAAGTAAAGTGCCAACGATCACACGCTGAAACGGTTTAATATTGATTCAGCGATAATCATTATAAGATGAAGTCATGTGACTGTATATAAAAGTTTTCTGTATGATAACATTTTTGTGGAATTTATCAAAACTCGTGATAAAATCATGATATTTGATAACAGATATTAAATGTTTGCATATTAATGATAATATCATTTTATTATTGATAATAAAAACAGACTGCAGGAAGTGAAACCTGTCTTCTGTGCACTGACCAGCAGGGGGCGACTCCACAGGCAGTTTCTATAGAAGTCTATAGAAACTTGTGTGTATTTGCCTTTTTTAAAAATAAATTCCAGGTAAAACTGAGAAATTATGAGGAAAGTTTCTGGGAAATAAGATGAAAAAACACTGATGTCAACATTTCAGTCTCGTAAAAACCAATAAATAAGAAATAAATAGTTAGAGTTGACTTCAGGAAACAGGAAGTGTCTTCACTAA